CACCAGTTGTACTATTATAAAACAGTGATATATAAACATAGCAACATCCCATCACAACAATATTAAGTACATCTTAAGATAAATTCATCCATTAAAACTAACCTCAAAATTCACATCTTTAGACACGTCCCAGTTGTTACAAGAAACGTCCTGTAAGAAACAAGCAACAGTTATAAGTTGTTAGTTAACTTTCACACAAGTATTTAATATAAAATATTATAAGTCTCAGATTGTAAATATCAGCAAAGAATTAATGATCTGGATAACGGCTCATCATAGACTTGGGGAATTATTAACAGATACTCAATGATAAAAACCCGTTAACCCAAGTACTTTCAAAGGGTGGACCCGTTTCTGAGGCAGACTGGGTTTTTATCAACCAGTGTTTTTCTGATACCAGATACTCTGTGAACCCTACACACAACACTGACGAGTAACATCAAAACTATTAATATTTGTATCACGTAACATGTCCGTGCTGTACGCTTGTACAAAGAAACTGACTAAACTAACCCATTTAACAGTTTGATTAGAGATGAAAGGTCTGGAACATTCCGTCAGTGTTCTAAAATACACATTAGAAACTATACAGTGCTAAGACTCAACATTACAATTAAAACAAAACTAACTTGACAGATTTTAAATACTAATATACATACACACAAGTAAACTATGAAAAATTACCTCATTAACTTCAAATAAAAATATTCGTAATCTCTGACGAAGCCAGCTCTCCCCCATCTTTACACACGTTGTTAAATATCTGAAAAATAAAATTAACTTTGAACATAATGAAACCCTCAGGTTTTTTTTTTACAAACTCAGTCCACAGAATTAGCCTCAGACAAATGCCTCAATGCCATCATTTAGCCCAGTCAACACCCTATGTGAAAACAGACAAAACAAAAAACTTGTTCACGTCTATTCCCCCATAAGAGCTTAATGTTGACAATTAGGCTCAGACTCGTCATCGTTACATCACTGGCTGAATCAATTTAAAATGATTATAATATTTTATTTATCCAAAACTTTTTAGGAATTGATTAACTTCAATTTAAAGTTATCTTTTTAAAGTCACTGAAACTTCCAATGTCACCTTTTAAACCACTATAACCAATAAAATAATGATAAAATCTTCCAAATCATGACGTCAAGTTGACTTTTTTAAATTATGTAAAACTTCATTTAAATTCTACATGCATCAAAACATGGTCCTTGGTAGAGTAGTACAAAAACAAAGTTGTAATTTGAGTGTTAAGAATTTTGTGAAGCTTCCTCTTGCCAACTACAGACTACACCCAGGAATTTACTCAACACGAGTTCATAGACCAGCTCTGCAAATTTAAAAAGCCAAACAGGCCTATATCTGGACATCAAATACTTGATACCAAAACAACTAAATACTAAAATAGTGATGTTCAGGTTATTGTGAATTCCATTTTTTTACTGAGAAGCAGGTTTTATAACCATTTTTGTACAAAAACTACACTTACAGAAAATACATTACCAAGGCTACCCTACAAGCTACAGATACATTACAAAGTGCAAATGTGACCAATTTTTACTTATTCTACGTGCGAAATGACTTGTTAAGACTAAAGCTGTAAATAACGTTAAAAGTACAATTACATTTTATATAAATACGTTTACATTTATCTGCTTCTTTGAAAGCATTCCTAAAAAAATATAACTGAAACTTGTGTTCTTTGTACCGGTAATACATTATAATAATCACGTGTGGCTTTGACCAGTAACATGCGTATCTCAAACGCTTTCACCGAATACTTAAACATAGTTTTAAGTCTTATATTACTGTAATATATAATGTGGTTTCTTCTATATAACATGTACAAATAAAAATCATACAATACTATCTAAATAGGCAAAAAAAGAAATCAGATGTAAACCGATTATACTTACTCACTCCTCACGCTTCGTAACACAAAAAGACAGATAACCTCTAACCGTTTCACTTTTATAAGATACGGATTCATTAAAGCGCCCTCTGTTAACATGCTAAATTAAACTAAACTGGCAGTTATTTCGATAAAATTATTTATTTTTAAAATAATACCATCAGGGTGTTCCAAGATCGAACAATCTTCCTTCGCCCTGCTAGAGGATTAGGAAGTGATATGGGCTTAGTATAAGAAAAAACAAAAGGGCTGAAGTGAGTAGGTGAATGATATAAATAACATGTGGCTGAGTGCAAGACACTACATCAATAAACGGCCGATCTCGGACTTATGGACTTTCAGGGCGGTGGGGATATAAAAATTCTGTGCCAAGAATTTGTTGTGGGAGGAAACGGGAATACCCTGAAAAAAACCCACTTTCATTGGTAAAGCGCCAATCCATTATCATTCCGAGAAGAGAGATTTTAGCTTTTCAGCCAGCTCTAGCAATCATGTTTTGTTAACTTTTGTTTTTCATTTAACGATTGTAATGCAGAACATATGAAACAAAGCTAATATTATAACCCAAGAAAATCAGACAAAGTAGTATTATTCTTAAGAGTCACGAAGCAATAAATGAAGATATCAAACTATCTAAATAGAACAGGTCTAAAAATTAACCAGTAACACATACAACTAATTTAATATACTTTAAAGAATACATAAATTCTTCCTAGATTAGATAGTCCATTGTATAGCTTTGTACATAACAACAAACCAACCAACCCGAATAAAAATGTTTCACAAAAAATTATTGTCAAAAGCAGTAGAGAGAAAGTACAATCGATCGCAAATATTTGAGTACATTGAATCATTTCCTTACCAAATTATTACGGGTTTACTGGGACATGGGTTTAATTTATCAAAGGAATTCAACATAAGTCTAAATATATTACATTACAACCAATAATTTCGGAAAAGACACTCAACTTATGGAGTTGAAATTTATCTACAATTTGGTAGAATACTCAAAATATTTGATATTCCTTCATTTACTGATGTATCCTCCCCCTCCTCCTCTGTGGCCCAGCGAGAAGTTTGAAAGCTTATAATATGAAAAATTAGGTCCAATAATAATGCACGGTTTTAATCAAAGACTCTGCAGTCGCATGCTTCCTAGATATAGAAAAAATCATTCGATAAAGTAATGGCCTCAAATACAAACTGTCCAGAATGGAACTTCCTAAAGAAATGATTACCTGGGTTTCTAACTCCCTGGAAGATACGAGCAGAGTTAATGTTGATGGCACCTACTTCAAGTGCTGCACTTTAGAGGTCCCTCAGAGAGGAGCACTTAGCCCTACCCTGTTTATTGTGTACGTCACCAACATGCCTTACAAAAACCCAAAGCAAACCTGCTCACAGTTCGTAGATGCTGATGCTACTATCTGGAAGAGTGCCCCAAATCCAACAACAGCAACATACAATATACAACCACTACTACACAATATAGAACTGTATTGCAATAAATTGATAATTAAAATTAACACGCACAAAACACAAGTCGTACTATTCACTAAAAGATACAAATGGGACTCTTACATGTAGCAACATCAGCAAAATTCTTAGGGATTACATTTTACGTGAAATTATTCCTGATACCACATACTAAAACCAGAATCTGGAAAAGAGAGAGAGTTACCTTGGGAGTCTGACTGGTGACATCCAAGGAGTTTCACCAGAAAACATCTTGGAAATATACAGAACATAAGACCAGTCGTGGAATTCACCTGCACAGCATGGATCAATGTATTAAAAACATATAAACAAACTACAGCAAACACAAAACTATATATCAATGAAAGCATATAGAGTTCCTCGCTCAACAAATTTAACATTTCTTCACAACTACTCAAACATGCCGACTAGCACATACACTCCTAGATGACTCGCTTCAATATTCTAAGAAAAATACAAATAAAAATTAACTGATGAGCGAATTAAAGAGATCCATAATAAATGATAAACGTAGCCCTAAATAACTTTCCCTTCTTAACATCATAAATAAGATATTTACAGGCCAAATAATGACAGGCTAACTGATTCCTAGACATAAACGTAGCTCTATTTTAAAAGGGTTTTTATATGTAAAAAATAGGATCATATGTGAGTGTGTGCACGAGTGCAAAGTGGAACTGTATTGTTAGCACAGGACTAACAGTCATACATTAACGTAGCTCAGTGCAAATATATTTGTTAATGTAACCCCATGAAATGGACAAGGCCTGAAGAGGGTATGTTGAATAAAAAAAATGTGGATAATATACAATACTTAATATAGAGTGAGTAAAGCAACATAGTAATGGGTATACTACCTAGGAATCAGTTTCAGTTCAAATAAAATAACATCATCTTCTGAAGTTGAGGTTATTTTAATTGAACTGAAGGAAGAAGTCAATGCTGAATTTGACCCTTCTTGGTCCAAACATGGACCGAAACCCATTGGGTTTCAATACGTATTATTCCAGTAAATTGTATGGGAAATATATTTCAATTAAAGTCATATAAAAATAAAATACGTTTACTCGAGAAAAGACAGGCAACAATTTAGTATTTCGTTAAACAATGGACACATTCTGTAGAGGGCACGAAAAATACAATAGACCAAAAATATCCTTATTTCGCGTTAACATCATTGTTTTATACACTTCAATCAACTCCACGATCATCAATGTGCTTCTGGGACATTTTCTAAAATATATTTTGTAATCTTAATATTCATTAATATTTTGTTTGTTTTTATAGCAAAGCCACATTAGGCTATCTGCTATGTCCACCGCGGGGTATCGAATTTAGCGTTGTAAGTCTGTAAGCAAATTCGATGACGAGGAACCCACTTTGAGACTAATAATGGTTGGAGACGGCTTGAATGGGTAATGAAGAAAAACTTTAATATAAGTTTAACATCACAGCAAATTTACAACGTTTCGATAAGGTTTTG